CCCCACTGAGGGAGACGCCAGACTCTCTCCGGGCACCTGTCACCCGCACAAGGAGGAAGTTGTTGCTCGTGTACAGCTGGGACTTCCTGGGCATCAGCCCCCGGCCGTTCCTCTGGTGCCATTGCTGGGCCCCGCTCGGAACCCTCCCTGCACACAGGGACACCCGGGGGACATCTGGGGACAGCCAGGGCTGAGGGCCCCTCTCAGCTGGGGCTCCAGGCTGAGCAGCCCCAGCTCCCTCAGCCCCTCCTGGGCACGGAGCTGCTCCAGGCCCTTCCTCAGCTCAGGAGCTCCTGTCCCTGCTGTGCTGAGCATCCAGAGCTGGACACAGCACCCCAGAGCAGGGATTCCCCTGGGGCAGGATCACCCCAGAGGGGCAGGATCACCCCACAGGGGCCTCAGAGGGGCAGGATCACCCCAGAGCAGGGATCCCCTGGGGCAGGATCACTCCAGAGGTGCCTCCTAGGGCTGAGCAGAGGGGCAGGATCACTCCCTGACCTGCTGGGAATGCTCTTCCTGATGTCTCTAGGACACACTGGATCCCAGAGCTGGGAAAGGGGCTCAGCCTGGAGGAAAGGAGGCTCAGGTGGGACTTTCTCACTCTCCACAACTGGTGACAGCACCAGGGTGGCAGGTTCCTCTGAAAGTAAAGAAAACTCTGGCAAGGGGCAGAGGAGACTTCTAGGAAGCACTGTTGCACCTGGACTTACCTGGGACTTGGGAAGGAGGAGCTGTCACTGCTGTGAGGGGATGTGATTGAGAAAAGTCAAGTGTTCTGTCCAAAATTTTCAAAGCTCTTTAGCTGCCTGTGTTTTCTTTGTGCAATTCCCAGCCCCAGGGAGTCTTCTGGGATAAGAAAAAATCATTGGAAAACTGGTTTTGGACTGAAAGGTGGTAGAGTTAGGGGAAGTGAGAGAGAAATCCTTCCCTGTGAGGGTGGGGAGGCCCTGGGATGGAATTCCAGGCTGCTCCATCCCTGGAAGTGTTCAAGGCCAGGTTGGGATAGTGCAAAGTGTCCCAGAGGGTGGAACTGGAGGAACTTTAAGGTCCCAAATTCTGGCATTCTGTGCTCAATAATTTGATTTTTTTTTTCTCCCTGCCAAATGTGTTTTCCAAAGGGGAAATTCTGACCAGGGTTTATCTTAAGGTTCTCTCGGAGCTGTCACATCTGTCTGGACCAGAAAGTTCTTCAAGTGTTTGAATAATTTAAAAAAGAAAAAAAACAAGAAAGGGATCTTCTTTATTGCCTCTGGTGAGTGTGTTTGTGCTGAGTTTGCCTGGTTGTTGGTGTTTTCCAGATGGGACACCCTGGAATGCCGCACTACCCCCCCATGGGGATGCACCCCATGGGACAGAGACCCCCCAACATGCCCCCAGTTCCCCACGGGATGATGCCTCAGATGATGCCCCCCATGGGAGGACCCCCAATGGGGCAGGTAAGGCAATTCCAGCATCATTTCATTCCCATGGTGATCCCTGAGGTGGGGAAATGCCAGTAATTCCAGGGATTTTATCCAGGTTAAAACTCTTCTCATGGGGAGCAGGGAGTTGGTGAACCTCTGGAACTTTAATTAGAAATTGGGATGAGAACTGGTAATTGATGTGCCTCTAACTTTAAAGATAAATTTTTATTAAAATTATTTAAATTACAAATCCATAATTTGGGATTTAGGAAAGTTTTTTTGGAAGCAGATTTTGAAGGATAAGTTTGTCTTGGGACTTCAAGTTTCTTTAATTCTCAGCCAATTCCTACATCCAACACATGAACATTACAGCAGGAGGAGAAATAAAGAAATATTTTTGCAGAATTCCTGCTTGGATCCTTGGGATTGATTTATAATCCCTGTATCCTGTTGTTGTGATGCCATGGGGTTGGAAAAAGCCCTGGCAGGTGACACAGCCACAGGATTGAAACCTTTGGGGACAGCCCAAACTCCTCTTCCTTTGCAATTCCTTGCACAAATCATCCACGTTTTCCTTACACTGGGAGAAGTTTTAAGTGTGTAAAGGCTTGGTTGGAATTTTTTCAGTGGGGATTTGCAGCTCCTGGGGTGAAAATCAGGGAATTTGTTAAAAATGAGGAGGATTTGGTTCATTAGCACTGTGTGTGTTCGTTAGGAGGTGAAACAGAAATTCTGCTTGATTTCCCTGCTTTTTTGTAACTCTTTTTCCACAATTCCCACTCTTAGCCAGGGAATATGCCAATATTTCATATTTCAGGGAACAGCTCAGGACTTTTTGGTAGATGGAGAGCAAAAAGCTCCTTTGTTCATTCATTCCTTGGAATTCTGCAGGAATCATTCCCAACCTTTGCTTTTCCTGCTTCCACTGAAGATTTCAGCAATGGAATCAGATCCCACATCATTTGATATCATTCCTTTGGGCTTTAAATGGATTTTATTGTTATTTCCTGTCCAGCTTTGGGATCTGGACATGTCATTCCTAATAGGAATATCCCAATTTGGTGGGAATGCCATGAAGGGAATCACAATCCCACAAATCCATTTTATTTTTGGTTACCTAGGAGGGACGTTTGGGGGTTGGTTTTTTTAAATGAAAAAGAAGTATCAGATAATGGCTTTTAAATCCAAATACTGTATTTTGTGTTGAGAAAATGATAAAATTCCTGGAAAACACTCTTGAATTCCAGATGCCTGGAATGATGCAGTCAGTGATGCCTGGAATGATGATGTCCCACATGTCCCAGGCTGCCATGCAGCCCACGGTTCCTGTGAGTTTAATTTCTTTTTTTTTTTAGTTCTTAAAAGCTCTTTTCAGCAGTTGCTGTTGAAAATAAGGATTGAAATTTTAAATGTAATTTTCATTGCAGTAGAGTTTTATGTGGCTCTTGAATGATTATAAAAATAAGATTTTTGTGATTCTCATCAGCCTTTAAATTCCTTTTAGTTCCCTTCAGTTATTTTAGTTATTTAAATTCCTTTTAGTTTTCCTTTCATTCCTTATCCTTCACTTCCTGGAGTTTGGCAGGAGTCACCGTGACCTTGGATTGTTAAATTGTCTGACCAAGAGATTCTTCTCTCTCAAGCTGAATTTTTTTTTTTTAAAGAGTTTAAATTCAATATTAAAGAGATTTGAATCCATTAGAAAGATTTTTATTAAAAGTTCACGAAATTCAGTTGAGTATAAAAATTCCTCAAGGAATGAGGAATTATTTGGGTGGAAATAGAGAGGGGAAAAGTTAAAATAGAGGTGAAATCTCTGAGGGAAAAAAATTGAAATGAAATCAAATTTAGTCCAACCTTAAGAAATCCACTTAAAACCAGTTCCAGCTATTTCAGTGTAGAAACAAATTATTTTTATTTTTTTTTTAATTCATGAAGATTTAAATCCCTAAATTCTCTGGAATTTCCTGCAGTGCTGAGCACAACCCTTTGCTGTGCTGGTTAGAAGCAGTGAAATTGCTAAAAATCAGTATTTTGGTCAGATTAATGCTTTTAAAATACATAAAAAATTCATATTTTGATCAAATTAATGCTCTTAAAATACACAACAAAATCCTGAGAATTCCCCTGGTTTATTCCTGTTGGATAATAGCAAATCAAATTGATCCAGTGTGATTTATTTTTCTTTTTAACCAATTTTTCTGTTTTCCTGAGGAATATTTGATGTTTGTAGCCAAGAGCTGAAAATAAACCTTAAAGCTAAACCCACAAGTTAAAAAATTGGGAAAACTTGGAATTTTGTTGATTTTTTTCCCTAATTGGAAGAAATTTGAGGAAGGAAGAGCTCCAGGAATGCAACTTGAATACACCTCAAGCCTTTTTGCCACATGATTATCCCACCTAATGAAGCTCCTAATTGCTTATTTAAGGAGCAGGAATAATTAAGAGGGAAGCAGGAATCCTTATTTAAGGAATTGGAGCCTTTTGTGGCAGAAAGGCCTTGTTTGGATAATGAATATTAGATTTTTTTAGGATTTAATTTCTCAGTAATTAATTATTGAAATGTAATTGTTTAAATGTTTAATTGTTTTAATTGAATTATTTTTACAGCCGGGAGTGAACAGCATGGACGCACAAGTAGGTGAGTAAACAACTCGCTAGAATTTCAAAATATTGAACCCAAATCAGCTGAAACATGAAAAAATTCCACTTTTCCCTAAAGCTGAATGGAGCATTTCACTCCTGGAATCTCCATTAGTGCCCAGGACATTTTTTTTCCATGGAGAAATTTGTAGAAAAATGAAGCAACCAAAGCTTTTATTGATTTTGAATTATTTCTTTTTCAGGTGTGACCCCTCCTGGAACTCAGGTATGTGGAAAGCACAATTCCAGAAGGTTGGAATCCCAGTCTGGTGTGGGGCAAACTTGGTTTTAGGGATTTCAAGGAAAACCTTAATTCTAATTTTTTTTTCCTCCCCCTTGATTGTTCCTTGAAATCTGTGGGCCTTGTCCCAACAGAATGATGAAATACAGGTGATATCCAGATTATTTCAATTTCAGTTATTCTATTTCAATTATTTCATTTTAAATTTCAATTATTTCAATTTCAATTATTTCAATTTCCATCTCATTGAAATAATGTGCTATGGGAGCATCAGGAAATCCAGTTTTCCATGGGCATATCCAATCATTGATCCACAGCCCTGATTCCAGGGAATTCATAGGAAAACTGGCCAGGGAAAGCAGCAGGAATCATGGTGGGGGTGATTGAGCTCAGGAACCCTGAATCTCCCTGAAGTTTCCCTCAAGTTTTGGGAACAGGGAATGCTGCTGGAATTCTGACTTGGAGTTGTAGTCTGAGCCTTTCCCTTCCATTTCCCTCTGGGAATTAGGCCCTCTGGAATGTGGGATTGAACAGGTCCATTCCCAAAAATGGGGTTTTTTTGGGACAAATAACTGCCTTAAGGTGTGATTTTGGCTCCCTGCCTTTCCTGTGCTGCTGAACCACCTGGAAAATTCAGGATATTTGGGTGAAACCCATCAATTAAGGAGGATTAATCAATTAATGAGGATTTTCCAAGCCCTGTTGTGTCTCCTCCTCAGACGACGCATCCCGTGGTCTCCACAGTCCAGTTAATTTGGTTTGGAATTTTCCCAGAAATCCACGTGGACGGAGCACAAATCCCCGGATGGAAGAACTTATTACTACAACACCGAGACCAAGCAGTCCACGTGGGAGAAGCCAGACGACCTCAAAACCCCTGCTGAGGTATCCCAATCCCAAATAAATTCTGGGATTTTGGGGGAACACGAGGATTTTCAAGCCTAACACCTGCAGCAGGGAGAATTCTGCTGGAAACAATGGGAGCAAACATAAGAAATGTTCCTAAAATGTTTGGATCCTTCTTGTGCTGGGAGGAGCTGAGGGTGCAAAGTGGGCAAAATTCCTCTGTTTTCCTCATTTTTAGATAGGTTTTTGATTTTTTTAAAAAATATTTTTTTTAAGTATTAATTTAAAAATAAAATATAAAATATTAATATTAAAATTTTATTTTATGTCTTATTTTTATGACTTAAAGAAGTTGTAGAGAAAGAATTTAGAGAAGAAAAAATTCCTAAAAATTACTGTTTTGGTCAAATTAATGCTCTTAAAATGCACAACAAATTCCTGAGTATTTCCTGGTTTATTTCTGTTGGATATTATCAAATCAAATTGATCCAGTGTGATTTATTTTTTCTTTTTAACCAGTTTTTCTGTTTTCCTGAGGAATATTTGATGTTTGTAGCCGAGAGATGAAAATAAACCTCAAACAAAGATAAATCCAGAAGGAAAAAAACTGGGAAAACTTGGAATTTTGTTAATGTTTTTTCTTTATTGGAAGAAATTTGAGGAAGGAAGAGCTCCAGGAATGCAGCTTGAATACACCCCAAGTCTTTTGCCACATGATTATCCCACCTAATGATTCTCCTAATTGCTTATTTAAAGAGCAGGAATAATTAAGAGGGGAGGAATCTTTATTTAAGAAATTACTAAAGGAGGTTTTCCTTGGAAAATCTTTGTTTTCTCTCCATCAGCAATTGTTATCCAAGTGTCCCTGGAAGGAATATAAATCAGATTCTGGGAAGCCTTATTATTACAATTCCCAAACAAAGGAATCCCGCTGGGCAAAACCCAAAGAGCTGGAGGATCTTGAAGGTAAAAGGGTGCTGGACTTGTATTTTTATCAATATGTATTAATTAATTACATTATTTATTTTAATAGCACCAAAATCAGCTGGGGGTAAAGAATACGTGTAAAAAAATAAAAGAGCAGGGAGCAGTAATTTAAATATTGCCTTTCTTAAAATTCTGTTTAATAACCCTGACATTCTTTCTGGGTCTTTGAACTGTATTTTTTTACAAATGAAAAGAATTCCTTTAGACCAAAAAATAATTTTTGTATTCCCCAATCTTCCTGTTGTAGTGTTTCTAAACTTTATTTTAATCTCAATTGATTGCAGTCTTTAAAGGACACAAACGTTAAATTTTTTGATAGTAACAAAAATATTTAAAACTTTGCTTTTATTAAATCAAGAATGAACAGAACTTCCTGTGTATATTAATTACTTTAAAGCTATATTTTAATTGTTTTTCTCCTTTTTTTTCCTCTAGCAATGATTAAAGCTGAAGAAAACAGGTACATTTTTAATATTATGCTAATTTTTTTCCTGAGGGCCTTCAAACCTTTCCTAGGATCCTTCAACCCTTTTTCCTGAGGGCCTTTCACCCTTTCTTCCTCATGTTCTTTAAACCCTTTTTTCCAAAAGTTCTTTCAGCCTTTTTTTCCTGAGGGCCTTCAAACCCTTTTTTTCTTGAGGTTTTCAAACCCTTCTTCTTGAGGATCTTCAACCCTTTTTTTCTTGAGAGCCTTTCAACCATTTTTTTTCCTGAGGGTCTTCCAGCCCCTTTTCCTGGGATCCTTCAACCCTTTTCCCCTGTGGGCCTTCCACCCCATTTTTCCCGAGTTTCTCTAAACCTTTTCCAGGTCTTTAACTCACCCTAAACACCTGACTCTGCACTTTTATCCTTTTTAACCCTTTTCCTGAGGCTCATCAAACAAACCCTTTTTCTTGAGGATCTTCAAACCCTTTTTTTCTTGAGAGCCTTTCAACCATTTTTCTCCTGAGGCTCTTCCAGCCCCTTTTTTCCTGGGAGCCTTCAACCCTTTTTGCCTGAGGTTCTTTCAGCCCTTTTTTGCATGAGGCTCTTCAAACTCTTTCCTGAGGCTCATCAAACCCTTTTTCCTGAGGTTCTTCAACCCTTTTTCTTGAGGATCTTCAACCCTTTTTTCCTTGAGAGCTTTTTTTCCTGAGGGTCTTCCAGCCCCTTTTCCTGAGTCTCTTCAAACCCTTTTTCCTGAGTCTCTTCAAACCCTTTTTCCTGAGGTTCTTTCAGCCCTTTTTTGCCTGAGGATCTCGAAACGTTTTTCCCGAGTCTCTTCAAACCCTTTTTCCCTGAGGCTCTTCAAACCCTTTTTCCCTGAGGCTCTTCAAACCCTTTTTCCTGAGATCCTTCAAACCCTTTTCCCCGAGTCTCTTCAAACCCTTTTCCCTGAGTCTCTTCAAACCCTTTTTCCTGAGTCTCTTCAAACCCTTTTTCCTGGGATCCTTCAACCCATTTTCCCTGCGGGCCTTTTCCCCTTTTCCCCTTTTCCACCCTATTTTTCCCGAGTTCCCATAAACCTTTTCCGAGTCTGTGCCTCCTCGTTTTTCCCCGAGCCGTCCTTTCCCCTCAGTCTCCTCACTCCCGCGGGTCACCCTTTATTTACCGTTTTTGTCCCCAGCACGAAGCCGGAGGACGCCGCCGCCGCCGCCTCAGCTCCGGCCGCNTGGCAGGGGTGCATTGGGATGATCCTTCATGTCCCTTCCCACCCAACCCATTCCATGATTGCCATCCCAAACGCTGAGATCTTCGCACAGACCTGCACCATGCTTAAAGCCAGTTCTTCACAGGACTGAATCATTTACCGGGACAAGAGGGAATGGCTTCAAGGTGGTGCAAGGCAGGTTTAGCTCGGGGATTGGGAAGAAATGGATTCCTGGGAAGGGGATGAAGCCCTGGCACAGGTTTCCCAGGAATCCCTGGATCCCTGGCAGTGTCCAAGCCCTCCTGGGATTGTGTCCCTGCCAAGGAATGGATGGGATTTAAGATCCCTTCCCACCCCACCCCATTCCATGATAATTTATGCAGCATCAGTGACAGGAACATCCCATGAATTTTCCAACATCTGTAAAAATTTCCCAGGATGCCATTGAAAACTTCCCTATTTTATGTTCCTTTTCCATGAATTTATGCCATTGATTATCACTGGAAAAAATAAAATACTAAAGGGATTTTTATCTGTTCCAGCCATAATTATTTTATTTTTTTTTAAATAATGAAAAATCTATTATGTGGACAATTACAACTTTTTAATTTATAATTATAATTAATTTTATAATATAATTCATTTTATAATTAACTTTATAATTAAAAAATTTTATTGAATTTTTAGGGCTCGAAAAAGAAATGCTGTGGGGGATTTTAGACAGCAGGACATAATTAAGGAGAAGAGGCCCATTTTTAGGCACCTCTCTTTATATTTTTATATAAAATATTAATATTCCTGCTGAATTTCAACATTATCTTTTTAGGGATAATTTCTAGACAGCTTCAGCAGGGAGCCAATTTCAGGAGGGAAATGTTTTGCCTCAATAATTCCCTTTTTTTGATCTTGTTTTCAATTGTGGTGCCAGTAAGGAAAAGCTTTGTATGAATTACTATTTTTACTTTGAGTTGCTGCTTTAAAAACTCATTTTGTGGTGGTTTTTGACTCTTCAGTGCCTCTAACTTGGAAAAAAATGCTGAAATAATAAAATTCTTTTTGTTTTAGTGCTTCTGCAAAGAAGGAGGATGAGGAGGCCCAACCAGTTAAAAAAACCTACACGTGGAACACAAAGGAAGAGGCCAAACAAGCATTTAAAGAACTGCTAAAAGAAAAGGTATTTGGGGCAATTATTAATATTTTATTCACCAATTATTAATGTTTAATTGATGTGCAAAACCTGGTTCTATTTCTGTTTTATTTGCCAGGTTTTACTTGGTTTTTTCGGGGAAGAATTCCCCACTCTTGTGGAAATGCAAGAAGAGAACCTTGCAATGAAATGTTGTTTTAGCTTAAAAATAAAATGGTTTTTTCTTTTCCCCATGGCTGTTTTGAAGGAATTATTCCTTGTTGGATGTTAATTAATCCATAATTTCCTGTTTCCACAGCGGGTTCCATCCAATGCTTCCTGGGAGCAAGCCATGAAAATGATCATCAATGACCCCAGATACAGGTACTGAGCTCTCCTTTAATTACAAACAAACCTTTTTTTTAGGGAATTTACTTCCCAAAACTCCAAAGTTCTGTCAGCAACAGATATTCCTGCACTTAGTGCCACTGGCAGGGGATTTTCTGCCTTTCCTCCCTAAGGAAATGCTCCAACAGCTTAATTTTCATTGGGAAAAAGTGTGGAACTTGGTATTTTATGCTGATTTGTTGTTTAAAATGTTCAGATTAATTTTATCTCAAATCTGGATTGTTCAAACCTGTTGCCTTTTGCTTTCTGGTTTTGATTTTCTTATATATTTTTTTTTTCAGTTAATTTTTCCTGATTTTCTTTTTTTTTTCCCCCCAATTTTCTTTATTTTCCTGATTTTTTTTCCTGGTTTTCTGTTGTTTTTTCTTTTTTTCCTTTGTTTCTTCCAATTTTTTTTTCCTTTTTTTCCCAATTTTCTTTCTTTTTCCCAATTTTCTTTCTTTTTTTCCAATTTTCTTTTTTTTCTGATTTTCTATTATTTCTGATTTTCTTTTTCTTTCTATTTTCTATTATATATTCTATTTTCTTTTTCTATTTTTTCTGATTTTCCTTTCTTTTCTGGTTCTCCTTTCTTCTCTGGTTCTCCTTTCTTTTCTAGTTCTCCTTTCTTTTCTGGCTTTCCTTTTTTTTTACAAATTTCAATTTTTTCCCTCATTTTCCTTTTCTGATTTTCCTGATTTTTTTTATTTATAAATAACATTATTTTCTTTCCTTTCCTTTCCTGGGAAGTGCTTTGGCAAAACTGAGTGAGAAGAAGCAAGCCTTTAACGCCTACAAAGTTCAGACAGAGAAGGAGGAGAAGGAAGAAGCCAGATCCAAGTACAAGGAAGCCAAGGAATCCTTCCAGCGCTTCCTGGAAAACCACGAGAAGATGACATCCACCACCAGATACAAGTAAGAGACCTGGGAACAGGAATCTGGGATAAAAATCCTGATGGGATTCACTGCTTGGAGTGGCAGCAACTTCCACTTTCAGCTTTTTCCTTCCTTTCTATAAATTAAAAAAAAATCTCACACAAAAAAACAAACAAACAAAAAAAAACTTTCCAAGAGGGAAAATGAAGGATAATTCCTATAAAAGCTTGGTCCAACATTCCCTGATTTTCTGGGGAACTGATGGATCCTTCAGTCACCAATAAATAGATAAAGAGTTGTGTGGTTTGAATTTGTTTTTCCCAGGAAAGCTGAACAAATGTTTGGGGAGATGGAAGTGTGGAACGCCATATCCGAGCGGGACCGGCTGGAGATTTATGAGGATGTTTTGTTCTTCCTGTCCAAGAAGGAGAAGGTAAATTCCCTTCAGGTGTATCCAACATCTCCTCCCTTCTTCCTAAATCACTTCAAACCTGTGCTGGAGGCTTTGTGGCAGACAGGCAGCAGCTTTTAGGGAAGGCTTTGGGGTTTATTGGGGTTTATTCCTGCTGATTTCAGCCTGGGTTGGATTTTTGGGGGATTTTAATCAATCACATGATTGGATTTTATTGTAAATCAGTGAAACAATAGAAGATGGCAAAAATTGTGTTGTTTTGTGTCCAAAGCCAGGGTGGATGGGGCTTGGAGCAGCCCAATCCCTGTCCAGGAGGTTGGAATGGCATGAGCTTTACGGACCCTTCCAACCCAAACCACTCTGAAATTCCATGATATTCCATAAACCCAAAATGAATTCCTTGGAATCATTTCTTGGACAACACACCAGATACCTTCCATTTCTACCCAAACCACCTCCACCTGAGCCCAAAATCCCAACTTTTCCCCTCAGGAACAAGCCAAGCAGCTGCGGAAGAGGAACTGGGAAGCTCTGAAGAACATTCTGGATAACATGGCCAACGTCACCTACTGCACCACCTGGTCAGAGGCGCAGCAGTACCTCATGGACAACCCCACCTTCGCCGAGGATGAGGAGCTCCAGAGTACGTCCATGGGCTCTGCAGTTCCTTGGGAAGCAGGATTCTTCTTGAGTTGGAAGGAATAACCCGAATTTTTTTTAATTTTTTTTTCCCTTTCTCCCTGTTTTCTCTCTAGACATGGATAAGGAGGACGCCCTGATCTGTTTCGAGGAACATATCAGAGCCCTGGAAAAAGAGGAGGAGGAAGAGAAGCAGAAAAGTTTGCTGAGGGAAAGGAGGAGGCAACGTAAAAACAGGGAATCTTTCCAGGTTGGTGGAATTTGGGGTTCTGTCCTAAAAATGTCATGGAATATCATGGGATATTCCAGGTGGGTTGTTTTATTTGTATTTCTCAGGGTTGGATAAGGGGGTGTTCAAAGCCTCAGGTGGCATTTTCTCTGCTGGAAAAGTAGGGAAAAATCAGAGGGAATGGGCCTGGATGGGGAGGAGCTGCAGCTGGAATGCTGGAGATGGAGAAAAGCAGGAAGAACAACATAAAAAAAAATGACTTTTCGATCCTATTGGAATAAAAACAGAATTCCACTTACCAAGCCAATCCATCCCAGCTGGCACCAAGGAGGAATGGCTCCAAATTCCCATTTCCCTTGTTTTTTTCCAGCTGTTTCTGGACGAGCTGCACGAGCACGGGCAGTTACATTCCATGTCCTCCTGGATGGAATTGTACCCGGCCATCAGCTCCGACATCCGCTTCACCAGCATGCTCGGCCAGCCCGGTAAGGACAGAAAATCCTGGGATTTGGGGCAGGCCACACCAATGATTCCTATTTTTTAACACCCAAAACCAGCTCTTGGCTTAAACCTGACCTGTGGCTTAACTAAACCCTCCCTCAGGATCAACAGCGCTGGACCTGTTCAAGTTCTACGTGGAGGATTTGAAAGCTCGTTACCACGATGAGAAAAAGATAATTAAAGACATCTTAAAGGTGAGGATTACCCGGCTCCTCCCTGAATTCCACGCTTCCCGTGCCAGGGAGCTGGGATTTCCTGGGAATTGAGGGAATTCCTGATTTCCCTCATGCCAAAGGAGCTGGTTTTTTCCAGGATAAAGGATTTGTGGTGGAAGTGAACACTTCCTTTGAGGATTTTGTCACCGTCATCAGCTCCACTAAAAGAGCCACCACGTTGGATGCAGGGAATATCAAACTGGCTTTCAACAGTGTAAGTATTCATTCATTCATTCATTAATTGGGATATCTGGATGATTAGGATGGGAAATCCCTTCTCCAGACAGGAATTAGGGTTTATTTTCTAATTAATCCCATAATATGTGGAATTCTGGGATAGGAATCCAGTGATGATCTCCTGTTTCTCCTGATTTGTGTGGTTCTGTAATTTTTGCATCATAGGATTTTCAGCCACAACAATTCCACGCTTGGAAAAGAAATAATCCGTTCATTTTTCATAAAACAATCAAATTATTTTGATTGATTAAGTACAGGAAAGATAATTAATTTCCTTGTCATTTCCAAGTGACTCAGACACAGCTCTGAGGGTGAACCATCAGGAAGTCCCAAGAAATGGAATTCTTTTCTTTGCCATTCCAGCTGCTGGAGAAGGCGGAAGCGCGGGAACGGGAGCGGGAAAAGGAGGAAGCGCGGAAGATGAAGAGGAAGGAATCGGCCTTCAAGAGCATGTTGAAACAAGCCACCCCTCCCATCGAGCTGGATGCTGTCTGGGAGGATGTAAGGATGAGAATTCCTGACATTTTAAGGGAAAAAAAAAGTCTCCAAATTCCCAAAGAAGTCCTTGCTAATCCCTAAAAAACCCCACCTTCGCCAAAGCTCTTCCTGGTTCAGCAGACTTCAAAATTCCATCAGATCCTATGGTTTCTGCAGGAAAATTTGGAGTTGGATGGGAAAAGCTTCATCCCGAGACTTTTGAAATGAAAAAAATCCTAAAAGAAATGGGAAAATCCCTCCCAAAAATCCCATAGACTCCTCCGAGTTAATTGGGATTATTTAAAAATGTCAGTTTTGGCCTGGATGAAATACCCTGGAAAACCTTTCCAAGGATAATATGTATCAGTGTTTGGGGGGGGTTTCAGCTTAAATGGAATGTGCAGGAAAACAGTGGGATTCTCCCATGTTTCCATGAGTTAGAGCTTCCCTGAACTCTGGAAATTTGGGATTTGATTGGAAATCTGGGATTCAAAAAGTTTGGCCTTGTGCCAGTTCAGGAGCTTTTTCAGCTGGTGAAAAGAATTATTTTTTAATTTTTTTTTTTATTATTTTTTATATTCTATTTTTTTTATTTTTCCTATTTTTCTTAGCTCTTATTTTTTATTATTTATTTTTCTTCCTGTGCTATTTCTTCATATTTATTTTTTTATTTCTTCACTATTTTTAGTTTTTTTATTTAGATTATTTCTTGTTATTTTTCATATTTTTCTTTTATTTCTTATTATTTTTATTATTTTATGCCTTATTATTCCGTTTTTATTTGCTACTCCTTTTTAATATTTATTCTTATAATTATAATAAATTATAATAATTATTACAATTATTTATTGTAATTTTTATTATTATTCCTGACTGAATTTATAATTTCTTACTGCCATTATCACATTTGATCATTTTTTCCATTTATTCTATCCTAACATTTTAATAAATTTATAATTTAATGACTTGGAATGCCATTAATGGAATTAATTTTCCTGACAGATCCGAGACAGATTTGTGAAGGAGCCGGCATTTGAAGACATCACCCTGGAATCTGAAAGGAAAAGGATATTTAAGGATTTCCTTCATGTCCTTGAGGTAATTATTCCTTTATTTTTGAAATCATTGGACAACAAAAAAGAAAAATTCCTCCTCAGTTGGGTGGGAAGGGGAAGGATTTACTGGAATTTTTTCCATGAAGCAGGAACACGAGATAAATTTGATTTTTCAGCTCTCACACTTGGGGCTTTTGTTCCTTTTCCTGCACTTTGGAAGAACTGGAACTGGGGAATTTTGCCTTTGAGTTCTGTCATTTCCAATGAGGCACAGCAAGGCTTTATTTAGGCCAGGCTTAGCTGGGATCCAGGGAGCAGATCCACGGGGATCCAGGTGTTTTTCCATGCCCTGGCTGCTGTTATTGCAGCAGCGCCCACGGTTCGGTGTTCCAAATAAAGATTGTGGAGTTCTGAACCCTTCCCAACTTCTGTGGATGAGGAAAAACATCCCATCAATTCTTCGGGATGTCCTGTGGGCACTGATGAGATGGTTCTGAAATTCAGTGGTGATTTTATGGAATTTTGAACCCTTCCCAGCTTTTGTGGATGAGAGAGATCCCATCTGATTTTTCTGATGAGGTGGCTCTCCCATTAAATGCCGATTTTATGGAATTTTGAACCCTTCCCAACTTTTGTGGATGAACAAAAACATCCCATCAATTCTTTGGGATGTCCTGTAGGAGCTGATGAGATGGTTCTGAAATTCAGTGGTGATTTATGGAATTTTGAACCTTTCCCAGGTTTTATGGATAAGGAAACACATCGCATCAGTTTTTTGGGATGTCCTGTAGGAGCTGATGAGGTGGCTCTCCCATTAAATGTTGATTTTATGGACTTTTGAACCTTTCCCAGGTTTTGTGGATAAGGAAACACATCCCATCAGTTTTTTGGGATGTCCTGTAGGAGCTGATGAGGTTTTACTGCTCCGTCCCTGGAACTGTCCAAGGTTGAGGCACCCTGCTCCAGGGAAGTTGTCCTTCCCCATGGTGCAGCAAGCTGGGATTTTAGGGCTCTTCCAAGGCCAATCCCTGCTGGAATTCCGAGCTCTCCCGTCCTTGCCTTTCCCACAGCACGAGTGTCAACACCACCACTCCAAGACCAAGAAACATTCGAAGAAATCCAAAAAACATCACCGGAAGCGCTCCCGTTCCCGCTCCGTGAGTATTCCTGAAAACCCTCCCTCTGCCATTCCCAGCTCTACTAATTCCTGCTGAAATTCCCATTTTTAACTGGAATTCTGCCCCTGGGTTGTGTGTGAAGGGCTCAGAGTCCGAGGATGACGACAGCCACTCCAAGAAGAAGCGGCAGCGCTCGGAATCGCGGTCGGTGTCGGAGCGTTCTTCCAGCGCCGAGTCCGGTACGGGATGGGATGGGATTGCCTTTAAAGCAGCTGTGCTTTTATCCTTTGGGATTTATCCTTTGGGATTTATCCCCTCATTCCTGGGCTTTCTGTTTCTCCCTGTGGCACAGAGAGGAGTTACAAGAAGTCCAAAAAACACAAGAAGAAGAGCAAGAAGAGGAGGCACAAGTCTGTAAGTGAAAAACTCCCTTCTAAACTGGCTGTGGACACCCTGGCACCTGCTGGCTGTAATCCCTGGTGGATTTTCCTTAGGGAAAAACTGGGATCAGGCTGGAGTTGGATTTTATTGCCAAAATAACCATTTTCTGTTCTGCATTCCTAATGTTAGGAATTAATATAATAATATTATGCTATAAAATATTTTTAATTTTTATATAAAATATTATAAAATTCTATAGTTAAATTTTTAAAGTAATATAATTAAATTTAAAATATTATAAAATTAATACTATAAAAGTATTAAAATTTATATAAATATTAATTTTTTATTTTTGGAATATAATTTAACAATAAATTTATTAATATTATCAAATATAATATTAGTAATTAATATTATTAATAAAGCCACTTCAAACTGCTGCATTTTGGAGGGTTTAACTCCATGGGAAGGACTCCGTGAGGAAGCTGGGATTTATCCTGGCCAATCCAGGTGTTCTCCTTTGCTGTGGGGAGGATCCCAAGCCCTTCCCTGTTCCTTCCTGAGCGTCAGGGCTGTGTGGGAAGCTGGGAGCTGTACAAGAGCAGCAGAAGGATCTGGAAAGCAGGAGGAGCTTCCCTTCTTCCCTGCGAGGAAAACTGTGGCTGCTCCATCCCTGGAAGTGTCCTTGGAGCACCCTGGGATAGAGGAATGGGTGGAATGGGATGAGATTTTTAGGTCCATTCCAACTCAAATCATTCCATGAGTCTTTAAATGGAAGTTGGACTTTAAAATATTCAACATTAATATTCACTATTCCCGTTGTTTTTTTCCCCACAGGATTCACCAGAATCCGATGTGGAACGAGAGAAGGACAAGAAAGAAAGAGAGAGGGATAGTGAGAAGGAAAGAGCCAGACAGAGATCTGAGTCCAAGCATAAATCTCCCACTAAAAAACGGCCTGGAAAAGATTCCGTAAGCTCTGCTTCCCTTTTCTCTGCTGCTTGGGGCTCTGGCTGCAGGATCTGCTGGGTGCAGCTCCGTAGCTGTGCTCTGGGAAAGGCCAGAGGTTGGATTTGATGATCCTGCAGGTCTTTGGCATTCCCAGATGTGGATTTTGGGGTTGCTGAGTGACACGGAGCAGCCAGCTCTGGCTCTGTGTCCCTGCCCAGGCTCCCAGGGTGGAACCTCCCTGGAAAATCCCGTCCTGAGCGCTGTCCCGTCTCTCCACAGGGAAACTGGGATACCTCTGGCAGCGAGCTCAGCGAGGGGGAGCTGGAAAAACAGAGGAGGACTCTTTTGGAACAGCTGGATGAAGATCAGTGAGAAGATCCTTGATACCAAAAATGTTTACAGGTGGCAAAATAAAACCAAGCCTTGTGTGGGCGAGGCCCTGGGGCCGGTGGCCGGTGGCCCACGGCCACAACAACGGTGGCTTTTAGTTTTTTACCACTTCAATCCAGTCAAAAGTAGAAAAAAAAAAAAATCCATGGAATTCTGAGGGCAAAGCTGTGCCTGGCCTGGAGCTGCGGGGCGGGATGGGGGCTGGGATCCCCTGGAGGGGACAGGGAGGTGGCAGCAGCGTCCCCAAGCACTTTCCCAGTGTCCTTCCCAAGGCAGGGAACAACCTGGGCTGCCTGGGCAGAGCCCAGCTCGGCCTCAGGAAAAAAATTCCTAATTTAATTCCTGGTGTTTTCAGTCACTGGTGGATTTGGTTGGGTGGGGTTTTTTGGGAAGGCAGCAGGAGTAAGGGATCCACGTCCTGATGTGTTCTGCAAACCCCTTTGGCTTTCGGGGTTGTTTGGCACTGCAGCTTTTGTCCGAGACTGATTCCGTGTCCAAGTCCCGACTCCCATCAATCCCAAATCCCTGGGAATGTGCTGGCCGGGAATTCTCCCGCTGTGCCAGCAGAGGGAGCGTTTGGGACACAACCACCCCGGCATTCCCGAAATCCCAGCCCTGGCTGTTACTCCAGCGTTTCTCTCTCCACCTTTTCTCTTCCTCTTCGGAAAATTTAGGAATAAAAATGCAATGTCAAACACAATTCCATGTGTTGCCTTAAGAACCTGCTGCAGAATGTACCTGCACGGCCCAGAGGAGGGAGGAGGAGGCAGCTCCAGCCCCGATTTCCAGCACGTTCAGGAAGGTGCCCCCAGCCCTGCTCGGTGAGAAAATTGGGAAGCCGCTGTCCTTGGAATATTTTTGTACATTTTTATCGCTGATTAAACCTTGTCTTTTAGCATGTACTGGTATTTATTTCTCCTTAAATACTCTGTACAGCTCTGAGCCACAGGATCACTCACAAAACCTGCTTGAACACTCTTCAGATTCCTTTCCAGGAATTTTTTTTTCCCAAATTTTGACTTCTTTTACCAGTGCATAAACAGCCAAAGGATCCATTTATCCAGGGAATTTTCTGGCTGGGGAGGTTGCAAAGGCTCAGAATCCTTAAGAACACCCTGAGATTGAAATGAGCTCTTTGAAATATTTTAAAATGCAGGAGGTTGTAACCATTTTTTCCTGGGATATTTTGGGATTTTCTGGGATGGTTTGGGATGGGAAAGCACATCCCAGTCCTGCTCTTCGCTCCTGGAGAGTCACTGCTGCTGGGGGAAAACCCCCTGGATCTGGTCAAACAGGGCTTGTGGGGATTTCTGGTATCCATGGGGTGTTTGGGATCCAGGTTGGAAGCAGTGGCAGGGAGAATATTCCAAGTTTTTCCCTGCAGCAAGTGGCTCTGCTGAGGGAGGATTGGGATAATGGCTGTTCCAGGAGCACCCACATCCCTGGGTTTGTATCCCAAAATGGGAATTCCCAATGTGGGAACAGGAGGGCAGCAGCTCCTGGAATGTGGCATGGAGCTGGGAGAAGGATTTTGAGTCTGACAGGGAGGAAGGAACTTCTTCCAATGCTCTTATTCCCTTGCATCCACACAAATCCAAGGAAAAAGTTGTTCCTAAGGGAATATCACTCTAAAAACATTTGCCAATATTTATTTTTCCATCAAAAATAAAGAACTGGGCATGTCAGTTACTCCAGTGCTGGGGTTTTCTTAAATCAGTTTGCTGGAAAAAACTCAGCTTTAAGCTGAGCCTGCTTTTAAACCAAGGATTGAGTTTTCCAGGGAATTGAGTTCAGGCTTGTTTTTCCAGTTTTTTGGGGGTTTTTTTTGGTGTTTTCCTCCTTTTTCCTATTTCCCAGCCCCATTTTTTTTTTTCCTGTGGCAGCCTCAGCACAGCCAACAGCTCAACCTCTGCATTCCCACCTGGAAACTGGAAGGAATTTTAGCCAAAATTATTATTTTTAATCAAATGTTGGATTCTTTTGGATGATTTTTCACCGTCAGTGTGGAAACCTTGGCTGTGCTGTTTAATCCTGACCCCCCCCAACTCAGAATAATTCTATTAAATTCTATTTTAAAAATTAGATTTGATATTAAAACCCTAATTCTTTAGGTCTTAAATGGTTGGATTTTTTTGAGTGCATTTCTGGCAAATATTAATCCCCATTTATTTCCCTCCTGGAGCTGATCCAGGTGTCTCCCAGGAACATCCACACCTCGAATTTCTTCCCTCAGCCTCTTCCAGAATAACAAAGAATAAATAAATTAATGCAGCAAATTCCTTCAATCTTCATCCACACAAGCTCCAGGTTTTCACCTATCAAATATCACCATTTTTTTGGGGGAAAAAAACCCAAAAAAACAGGTAAAAGAGACCCAAAAAACCCCTCTGGATTTCAGTGTAGTAGTGTAAATAGTTTATTTGATTTTATGGCAGGAACAGACCAGGAAAGGAACGTGAACTGCTTTAGAAAACACTTCTAATCTTGCTAAGAAGCAGATCTATGACTAGAAAAATATTAAAGAGAACATGCCAGCTTGGCTTTCATTTTGGGCTTTTATTAAAAAAATACCTTTGAGCTGAAGAAAATGAGATTTAGTGTTTATACCCCGACACCTGCTGAAATTTGAAATTCAAATTATCCAGTTTTCTTTGATGCAAACGCTCCTTGCAGCAGTGGCATGTTCTCTTTAGCAGGTCAAGTACACAGTGCTGGAAATGCAAAACTTGGCAGTTTTTCAAGGGAAAAAAAAAATTCCTGGGAATTGGTCAATGTGGTAACTCCGAGTCCCAAACTGTCCTTTTAGTTAAATATAAAAACAAAAACTATAAGTTAAAATAACATTCAGATTGTATAGCACAGGCTTGATGCATTTATTTCCTTTTTAAACAATATTTACAATATTACCCAGGGGCTGAAGTGGGAGGGGAGGGGGAAGTGTAAAAACCATAAAAAACTGCACCGATTTTGTAGCAAAATATCTGTACATTTAAAAACAGATTATCATATAACTACACGTTATCCAAGGAAAAAAAATAATCCAACAGGGACCTTCACCAGTGGGAGCACAACGGGAAAGGGCAGAGAAATTCAGTGGTTAAATACTATACAAGAAATTTTACAATTAACAGATGGATGAGCCCAGGCAGGGAAGCGAAATGGGATTTGGGAAGGATGAATTTCTCCTCGGTCCAGCCCTTCCCAGCTCCTGGATTCTGCTGCCATGGCACGGAGTGGGATCCATCCCGCTGCTCCACGCTCCTAAGTCAGCCTCCCGTCCCTTTTTAGGCTTGGAAAATGCCACGGAGAACCTAAAACCGAACCTAGAACTGAACCTAAAACCTGGCGGGAGTTTTAGGCTGGGCTTCCCTTCCAGAGGAGCCTCGGCAGGGAATGTGAGCAGGAATGTCTCGGAGCCGGAGCAGGCTGGAATGCCCCTGCAGTGGTCCTCAGAGCCTAATACTGATTACTGGGTGTTAATTGCTTAGTGCTAATTAATAAATATGCTGTTATCCCAAGGCTGCCTTCCCTGCCCCCCCCAGCCCGAGCCCTGGAACGTCCCAAACTGAGGGAAGCTCCTGTTCTGTTCCTATCCCTGGGATTGGGATCCCACGTTCCACTGGGAGGCTGCAGGGGCTGGGAAAAGGGCTGGGAGCTCCTTGGGATTATTTTAATTCCACATCCAGAAAGCCCTTAAATGTCTTTGTTTGTAGTTTGAATTAAGAAAGAGCCGTTAAGTGCAGATGGAGGCCGGGCCTGCCCCTCGGCCCGGCATTACAAGCCAAGCACATCCCAGTATTCCCAGTATTCCCAGTTTCCAACCAGGCCCACGGGAGCTCTCACCAACCCAACCCCCTGAACCAACCCATATTTTACATTTTGGTTCCAAACCCTGCAGAGCCTTGGCGCTCCCAACCAACCCCAATCCTATTGCTGGGATCCACGGGAGCGGGAACTTCCATTTCAGGCACTTGGCGCGGAGATCCCGGCGCGGGGCCGGGAGCCCTCCGAAGGTCCGTTTTTCCCTGGAAAAGGCGGGATGCGGAGCTCGTGGCGCTCACATGGCCAGCTCGGCGCCGTTGGAGCGCAGGCCGTGCTCGTCGAAGCGGCGGCGCACGCTCCTCCTCAGCGCGTCGGCCCGGCGGTACGGCTGGTTCCGGAGATCTGCGGGGAGCCGGCAGGGAGTCAGCGGCGCCCGGGCGGACACACGGACACACAGCACGGCAGGACAGACAGGGAAAGGCCCGCTGGAAGCCAATCAAAGCAGCTTGTGGAGCACGGGAGCAGGGATGGGCCCCGGCGCAGCGCAGGGAAGGACGGAATGCCCGAACTACGCGCCCCAGCGGCCGGTTAATACTGGTGGGATCGGGATGCCGGTGGGACCGCAGGAATGGTGCCGTGGGAATGTCCCCTCACAGCTGTCACCGAGGCCACATCGACCCCAGCCAGGCGCTTTGAGGTGGTCCCTGCGTGTTCCCACACTCAAACACCGGAGCTGGAGGATGTTCCTCGCGGCAGGTGCGTGATCCACGGGTTCGGCCACACCGGGATGGATTTAGGATCCCTACATCCCGTTTAGTGTGGATTCATGGAATCATTCAGGTTGGCAAAGACCTCCAAGATCTAAAAGAGGTGCCCTGGGAAAAGCAGCTGGCACTGGCTTGGGATTCTCCAGCTGTTTTCCATGGCTGGAGCGATGCTGCATCAGCCAAAGGAGGGGAGAGCTCGGGAGGGAACACTGAGCATGGAATGGGATGGATGATGGATGATGGATGGATGGATGGATGGATGGATGGATGGATGATGGATGGATGGATGGATGATGGATGGATGAGGGATGGATGATGGATGGATGAGGGATGGATGGATGATGGATGGATGATGGATGGATGGATAGATGGATGATGGATGGATGATGGATGGATAATGGATGGATGGATAATGGATGATGGATGATGGATGGATGGATGGATGGATGAGGGATGGATGATGGATTGATGGATGGATGATGGATTGATGGATGGAGGATGGATGGATGGATGGATGGATGGATGGATGGATGATGGATGGATGATGGATGGATGGATGATGGATGGATGATGGATGATGGATGGATGATGGATGGGTGATGGATGGATGGATGATGGATGGATGATGGATGGATGGATGGATGATGGATGGATGGATGGATGATGGATGGATGGATGATGGATGGATGAGGGATGGATGATGGATGGATGGATGAGGGATGGATGATGATGGATGGATGATGGATGGATGATGGATGGATGATGGATGGATGATGGATGGATGGATGATGGATGATGGATTATGGATGGATGGATGGATGATGGATGATGGATGGATGGATGGATGGATGGATGATGGATGGATGGATGGAAGAAGGAGAAAGCTGATGGATGGGATGGTGGCAGCCCATTACAGGTGTCACATGTGCTGTCACCTGTGCACCTACAACAAAACAAGCACTGAAGATAATTCCAGTTCAAATCCTGGTCTCCTGGCCAACAAATTTGTGTTGGCCTGGGCAAATCCCTCAGATTTCCTGGATAACTTGTGGTGGGGGTTACACAGAACTTCCCAAACTTCTCAGCTCTCCCCTCTCCACACCTGGAGTTGGAGATCGTCCACCTCATGCAGAACCCAACTGTGGGGCTGCAGCACCTGGGGACAAAGCTGTTTTGGGCTGGACTTGAAGAGAAACGGCCAAACCAGAGCGTGATGGTGGTCACCAACCAGCACCACCCAGGGACGAGATTATTTTGGGCTCAACTTGAATTAAAGTGGCCAAAATGGAGTGTGAAGATGGTCACCAACAACAGCACTTGGGGACAAGACTGTTTTGGGCTCAACTCGAGGAGAAGTGACCAAAACAGCGAGATGATGGTCACCAACCACCATCCTGTGGATCCCTGCACCTCCAGAGGTGAAAATCAAGGATCTGGGTCTCAAGTGGCCTCGAGGGTCTCACCAGTATTAGCTCAGCCACATCTACCACCAGCTGCCTGGCACAGAGAGAGAGGAGGAAGCCAAGTAAAAAGTGATGCTTGCCAGCTCTGGGAATCCTCCACCACGGCTGTGCTAGAAGAAATCCTTACCCTCGAGTGAACATTGGGAAATTTAGTGATATTATTCTTCTTTAGGGCTAAACAGAAAAACAAAAAACAACAAACAGAACACAAAAAAAAAAAAAAAAATGATGGTTAAGTAAAAAAAAAAATGGGATGGAGAATGAAGAGCAAGTCAAGTCAGTGTTCAAACCTCCCGGGCAGAAACCACGGAGCGAGAGGGGTTAGACAGGGCAGGAGGGACAGGAGGACGCTCCCTACCCCAATTCCAAGCTGCTTTGAAGGTTGGCTCCAGGAAGAGAACACAGAGAGAACCCGGAAGAGCAAAGAACCATGGAGTGGGTTAGTTTGTGGATTTATTTGCGACACTGATGGAATTTCACAGGGAACGCTGGAAGGAACACTGCCGGCTTCTTAAGCTGAGTCCTTCATGAGGACAACAGTGCCCAGGGCCGTGCTGGGTTAGGGACACGCTGGGGACATCACGATGGGAATCGCTGGCTTCCATGTCAGCTTTGTCTCGGTACCATTCCGGTGCTCCTGCCACGCATTCCCGTGATTCCCATCCTGCTCCCGCCCTGCTCCATGCACTGAGCCCAGCCTCACACAGAGTCCAGGCTCACTGAGAATTCCCCAATCCATGAGATAAAGCTGGCATGGAGCTGACATGGAATGAAAGAGTTAAATGTGGATGTGAGCGAACAAGGAGAGATTTGACCCCGCCGTTCCACCCCATGCAGCTGAACATGCAGGTGCTGGTTAGGAATCCTAAACCACCCCGTGGGTGTCATTCCTGAGCCAGGAGCCATGCCCAAAGCCATTCCCGAGGTCCATGCAGCCCGGAATTGCACCCAGAGGTGCCACATGCACGGCCCCCAAAGGTGACAGGCAAGCCAAGTGAGCTCCTGAGTCCCCACACTGCAGGAGACTCATCCCAGTGACTCCCACCTTCTGCTCCACGGGACACCGGGACAGCCCGATGGGATGGGATGGGATGGGATGGGATGGGATGGGATGGGATGGGATGAAGAGAACATGCCACAGAGGAGACACCACTACAACTTCAGGAGGACGCTGGACACCACTACACACTCAACAGTCACAGATTCCTGGCTGAGATCCACACAAACAAAGTGGCAAAAAGTCTACAGCGACCTTCCTGGTTTCTAAGAGCGTCAGGTGTGAAAGAGGGAGAGTTTAGTAATGGAATTCCTCAGGGACAACAGGGTCGCAGAAGAACCGAGAGCCGCGCTTGGCGCTTCGGGCGGTGAACGGCACCGTCTTCAGCACTGCATGGGAACAACAACAGCCACACACAAACCAACGTCAGCAGCGCCCCAGGCCTCGGGGACAGCTCAGTGCTCCCACACGGGACACCGGGACACGCTCCAGCCTGCTCCTCACTGGCCCTGGGACATGGTGAGGCTCCAGGAGATACTGCTCCACTCCTGGAATCCCAGCCTGCTTCGGGTGGGAAGGGACCTTAAACTCATCCCATCCCACCCCTGCCGTGGCAGGGACACCTCCCACTGTCCCAGGCTGCTCCAAGCCCTGTCCAGCCTGGTCTGGGACACTGCCAGGGATCCAGGGACAGCCCCAGCTGTGCCAGGGCCTCACCTCCCTCCCAGTCAGGAATTCCTTCCCAATCCCTGATCTTTCCTTCATTCTAAAGCCATTCCTCCTGGGCCTGTAGTAAAATAATTCTCTTGAAGGTTTTGCTTTAAGGTGTGCTACAGGTCTGTGGGAAAACCTCGGTGTTTGGGATGATTTCGGTTGGATGGGACCTTAAATCCCATCCATGGGACACTTTCCATTATCCCAGGGTGCTCCAAGCCCCATCCAACCTGGCCTGGAGCATTCCCAGGGATGGAGAGGTGTGGGATTTACTGGGACATCTCCAGGGATGGGGAGGTGCAGGATTTACTGGGACACTTCCAGGGATGGGGAAGTGCAGGATTTACTGGGAGATCTCCAGGGATGGGGAGATCACCTTGGTCCTACCTGACCTTCTATGCCTGACCCTTTCCTCCTCCGTGGCCCCCAAAATGGGCAAATCCAGGCACAAGAGCATGGGAAATGTTTAATTGGAGCCTGCCACCCTCTCCTCTGGCTGGCCTTTTCCATAGGATCTGCTCCTCCCTCAGAGCAGCAGAACCATTTTTCCAATTAAACAAAGTCCCAGGAGCCCGGAGGAGTTGTGGAAGCAATGCCAGGTTGGATATTATTGCCACCCTGCCCTTTAAATGAGGAATGTTATCTCAGGGCCATTAATCAAGGTTAAAAGGAGCTGGGAAAGCTTCACACTCTTCATCCAGCTGGGCAAAAATTCCCTGGCTTTTCCTTAGGGAGGGGTCAAAGAGCTCTCCTGCTCTTCTGCAAGAAAAACTCCTGTGGAAAACTCCCAGGAGCAGCTGGCAAAGACTTTTTGTTTTGGGTTCTGTGCAAGGAAACAGAGTTTGTGAAGCTCCTGAGGTGTTAAATCATTTTCCTTCCACACCACAGGTGAAAAACGTGTGGAAAACTTCCAGTTGTGCAATCCCAGAAGCTGGAAGTGTGAAGAAGGATTTAATTCCTGGGGAAGATGCAGTTCAGGTGGCTCCTTTAATCTGCAAATATCTGCAGCCACGTCCTGACTGTGCCTGGCTGCACCGGGGGCTGTGTCCCTTCCCTCTGGGATCAGCAGGAAAACCTGGAGCGGTTTGGGATCACTGAAGGATTTCTGGGATCAGTCTGAATGAAAACACAGACTCCTCATCCTGACCCCAATCCCATTTGTGGGGAGACAAAAGGGACCTGGGACAGATCCACACGGCACAGCTGGAGCAGCTGCTGGGATCCGCCTGCTCTAAAACCCTGGGAATGTTCCCCCAAGCTGGAACCTCCTGGACTTGCTCCACACCACACAAACGACACCCTGGGGAGAGGAGAAAGGCCTGGAGCTCCAGGCAGCTCCAGGCTGGGAATTCGGGAGCAGGGGGTACCTGTGATGATGTCCTCGATGGCGCCGTCCTTGCCCTCGTACACGTGCCGGTTGTCCTTGACCTGCCGGCGCCGCAGCTCCGCGATCAGCTCCTGCTGCTGCCGCTTGCTCTTGTGGGAAGGGGACTAGGAACACGCACGGGGATGCTCAGGATGCAGCTCCAGCTCTCCTGGGCTCCTTCCTGAACCTCACACAGCCCCACCAATTCCCATGGGAATTTCCCACCCCATTCCCAAGGCTGGGTTGTTCCTCCCTCCATTCCCCCGCTGCTCCTGCTCCATGGAGGAGTCAGGGAGGATAAAGTTCAGCCCTGGAAATACGGACAGGACAACTTCCCACCCATTTCCTTTTCCTTAACTTTGCAGACTTCCAGAGCAGCAGAATACACACTGGAACTTTTCCAGCCTATCCCAATTCTCTCCATAAAAACTTCCAGACATTTTCCAGGCAGCTGCAATTCCTCACTCGGAGCTGAGGTTTCTGGGTATCAGGAACACGATCCCACCTGGAAGCTGCGTTTGTCCCGTACCTTTTGGTCCTGTTGTTCCATCAACGCTTCCTGCTCCATGAGTTTTTCCATTAAGGCCTGCTCCTGCTTTTTCCTCAGTTCGTTTTCTTCCTCTGCTTGCTGTTTGGGAGAAAATCCATGGATTAGAGATTCCAGGGGAGCCAGGGAGGAACGGGATCTGTGCCACAGCAGGGCTTTTGGCGGAAGGGAGAAGGAAAGAGGAGGAGGAGGAGGAGGAGAAGGAGAAGGAGAAGGAGAAGAAAGGAGAAAGGAGAAAGAAGAAGAAAGGAAGACGGAAGAGAAGAAGAGGAGGAGGAAAAATAGGAAGAGAAGAAGGAGAAAGGAAAAGGAGAAAGGAAAAGGAGAAAGGAGGAAAAGGAGGATGAGGAAAAGAAGAAAAAAAAGAAGAGGAGAAAGAGAAGGAGAAGAATACAGGAGAAGAAGTGGGGGGAGGACAAAGAGGATGAGGAGGAGAGAAAGAGAAAGAGAAAGAGAGAAGGATAAAGAGAAATATAAAAAGAGGAGGAAAAGAGGAAGAGGAGGAGGAGGAGGAGGAGGAGGAAGCTCTGCTTTACCTTGTAGGCCTTCACAAAGCGGACAAACACCGGGAAGAAGACGGAGGGTGGGGTTGTCTTGGGATTCTCCCCGAAATACTTCACAGCATCATCAAAGGCATCCTGCAACAGGCACGGCCTCAGTGCCCTGCACACCCTGCCAGGCACCCTCCCCAGCCCCAGCATTCCAGGGAAAACCAGCCCAGCCCTGGGAGCCACCCCCACACAAATCCCGGGAATGCTGCGGCACCTGGGCTATTTTGGCATCGTCCTGGAGCTTCTTGAGCTTGCCCTCGTTGCTCTGGATGAAGTCCTTGAGCATGGTGTTGTGGTCGTGCATGGTGTACTCGCGCTTGGTCAGCTCCAGGCCCCGCTGCAGCTCCTTCACATCCAGCAGGACGTTCTCCAGGGACACTGGGAATGACATGGGAATGGTGGGAATATCAGGGAATATCAGGGAATATAAGGGAAGGGAAGGGAAGGGAAGGGAAGGGAAGCCCTACCTGCTGCTGCCTTCTCCACGTAGTGCAGCTCATTGTAGAACAGGGCCACGTGCTGGTACTTCTCCTTCACCACGTTGGAGATGTAGTGCAGCAGCGTCTGCTTCCGGTCCGTCGACTTCGTTTCCAGGAGCTGGGAAAAGCAGGAACAGAGCTGAGGGGAGCTGGATCCAAGCCAAGGGACTCAATGCTGCTGCTCCAGGGTGTTTGCCACGCTGGGAAGCACCAATGGAGTCCCCCAGCAGCCACTTGGGTCACCACGACCTCCTGAAAGCCACAGGGTTGGGACAGAGAGGCTGGAAAAGTGGGAAAGGATCCGGGGGTGATGAACACGAGCCCAGGGGTGCCCAGGTGGGCAAGAGCTGAGCCGGTCCCTGAGCTGGGACACCTCCTGTGCTGGGGACAGCTCTGGGACAGGAGGGACACTGAGAGGCTGGAGAATTCCTGAGGGAGCTGGGAAGGGGCTGGAGAATTCCTGAGGGAGCTGGGGAAGGGGCTGGAGAATTCCTGAGGGAGCTGGGAAGGGGCTGAGCCTGGAGCAAAGGAGGATCCCGAGGGATCTTTTCCCTCTCTGGAATTCCCTGGCAGGAGGGGACAGGCGGGGGGGTCGGGCTCTGCTGGCAGGGAACAGGGACAGGAGGAGAGGGAACGGCCTCAGGCTGGGCCAGGGCAGCTCAGGGGGGACAGCAGCAGGAATTTCCCCATGGAAAGGGCGCTCAGGCCTTGGAAGTGCCCAGGAAGGTTTGCAGTGCCCATCCCTGGAGGGATTTCAATCCCTGTGGATGCGGCACTGGGGACAGGGGCAGTGCTGGGAATGTTTGGACTCCATGATCTTGGAAGTTTTTTCCAACCTCAAGAATTCCAGAGCTCTAATTCCCAGCTGGTGCCCACAACACATCCCTGCTTTTCTTACCAGGTCTAAACTCTGCAGCTTAAATCCATACACAGCCCCTCGTTTGCTGCTGTTCATGTAATTCCCAAGGGCCAGGATGATCTGCCAGGATGAAACAGAGCAGAGCAGGAATTCTCAGGACAAATCCCTGGAAGTTTAGACACCCCTGGAAGGGGAGCTGAGATCAGACCTACCTCCAGGATCTTCTTGAGTTTTTGGGATGACTTTATGGAGACAGAGGCAGCTATTATGGCGTGGAGTTGCTGTGGGGAAACACGGGGAGAGCTTTGGTTAATGCACACCCAGCCAGCAGGAAAATCAACATCCAAACACTTATCCTGAAAAAAAACCTTCCTGGTTTTCATCCATGGACAGAGCATGGATGTCCCTCTGCCATGGAGCCAGGCTGGACATTGGGGCTTGGAGCAGCCTGGGATGGTGGAAGGTGTCCCTGCCCACGGCAGGGGTGAGACTGGATGGGCTTTAAGGCCATTCCAACTAA